TTTCCCTAGGAGTCATGGAAAGCAATTTTCTTCTTTGTGTGAACTCGCAATTGATTATATTGTAATTTGTGAGCTACATCTATACACTTGATTATATTAACTTTTGCATGTTATTTATCCTTGTAAATTCTAATTATGCATCTTATCCTTAGCATATCTTGACGTAGGTGGAAATTTGTATTTCTATAGGAACTAATAAATTTGTTAGGAAGTATTCATCCTAAAACACATCAAAGTTTTCACTTTCTGCTCTAAACTAAAAAATCTATAGTTTCATTTTTTTCATCATTAAGTTGTCATCGAACTTTACTATTTAAATTTTGTTGTCTTACTTATATTCCTGGGTATTAAATTAATGTGTTCCAGGTCATCCCTTCACTGCAGAAACGAGGTATTGGTCAAAAGATTGTTGAGAAAATAATCAGGTACTGTTAGATTCTCAGTAGATTTTTCCTTTACTATTTTCTTGTACAGTTTTTTTCTGTAAACATTTGATTTTTATATAAAGCTCCTGTTTAATCTTACAGTTACCATCTAGGATCTTTAAGACATCTCTTTGTGTTTCGTAGTAAATTTCTCTCTTAATTTTCATTGCAAATACACACTATATTTCTCAAATAATTGAGTATTCTTTTTCCATTAATTTCTTTGCTGTGCATATCCTGTTGAGTTATTTTGAAGGATGTGTTGGTTGTCACTAGGCTATTTCAATGTTAACAAAAAAATAAACTTACTAGATGGTTTGATTTATGCTGGGCTTCACTAAAGCCTAGAAATGTTTGGAAGTCATTGATGCCTTTTATGAGAAACAATAGAAACAAGATTTTAAATCTTAATGTTCATTGATAACATAGTTCCTATGGATGACAGATTTTTTTTACTTGCATGTTGAAGCGGATATTGCATTATGCAAGGAACATCTGACTGTCAGTTAGCCAACCAATGTGTTCTTTTTGACTTACCCTTCAAATATATATTACTCATGACTCTCTTTATTAAAGCCTTCAAATGAAATGAGTAATAAAAAAAAGGTTCTAAACCTTCTTAATACAAATATTTGTATAGCTTAACTTCCCATTTGAAGTGGGTGGGGAGTGGTGGAGTGTAATGCATGGTTTTAATGTGAGCACTGGCTGTTGTAGCTGCTTCAACTATTATTCTAGTACTGTCTGTTTTTGATTGGCTTATTTGGAATGGGCACTTGATCATTGAAGTGTTCGCCAAACTTCTTCCCCATGCATAGGAGGTATTAGAGTTGAAGTTTACCTTGGTTTCTGTGCTTGACGTAATTCTTAGTTCCTATGATTTGACTTCTCATGTTTGAAATGAATTTGTTGATTTTCAAATTTCATGTCCTTCTTAGAGTTCTTTGATTTCAATATACAGGGTGTTGTGGATGAAGTGCCGCACCTTCCCTTAATGAGAAAACTTGGTGAGGCACATGAGATTAGCATTAATCCCACTTTGGATCACCATTGAACAAGGTTATGTGAACGTAACACTGGTTAGCTCTCTTCCCTGGGTTTAAAGTTTTAGTGTAACCATAGGTTTGGGCCCTAGTATATTGCACACAACTGACTCATTCCCCTTTGATTCTGATTTCTATCTAAAAGTTTATGCTGGATGCTTTTTGTTTGTGTCTTTGTATCAGAAAGGTTTCGTTAGTGTCTTCATACTCGCATTTGTTTGTCATGATGTCCTTTGAGATAAATAGAAAATTTTACTAAGCATCTGTACTGGGGAATGGATGGATCCCCTTAACACCAAATGGTGAATTCCCATGAAGTTGGCGGACAAGGGAATTATTTTAGCTGGTTTAGTTTTTCCCCTACATTGATTGATTGCGTAAGAATTTTCTTGATTGTTTTGATACTATGTGCTGCTAAATCCCTAAAACTTTGCCCAGCATAATTAAATTTGAGTGTAGAGTGGTGGACAAATAATCCCAAAATATGAGGCTCCATTTTTTTTTAGATTCTTCGTGTTTATAGTCCTTATGAGACAAGATTTTGGCATGTATGTGACCTCTGAGTTTCAATTTATACTATGTGCGGCTTTCATAAAGTGTTTGATGTTTTGCTAACAGACTGCCACTGATAAGCCTTTAGAAGATAAAGATGATGTCTATTCATTATGCCTTTTATGCCCTAGGTGACACATACTACAATGACCAAGACAAAGGTTTGCAATCCCCCTATGGTGAGCTTACTCTGAAGCGCATCTTAAGTTTGGATTGCAAGCCAGTTGGTTAATATGGATATGGATGCCAATTTATCATCATGTTTCTTTTTGAGTTCTGTAAGTCATGAATAATCGTTAAGCTGCTAAGGTTTTCAAATAAAAAGTAATTGTCACTGTTTATCTGCATTATGTACTTGCTTCTTGATTTGTCACGCTTACAATTTCTATTTAAAATATTCTATTTCATAGCCTCAACTGTGATGCTGAAGCTTCACATCTTCTTGCTTATTTTTCCACTGCATGCTTTATTTTTAATTCAGAACGTGAAAAAATTTCAGGATCCTCACCAATAAAGGCATCTATGATATTTCGGCTTTGTGTTCTGAAAAGGAGAGGTACATCACTTCTATATCTTCTTCAAATTTTCTATTTAAAATGAGTCAAGGTTTAGCCTTTTAGTAATGCGACCGAATCTTCTTATAAATTTGTTCATCTATCTGTATTAAATTTAGCATTAAAAGTGAGAAAACAACGTTGATAACCTGAATTCATTGTTCTATTGAGTTTCTATTCAATTTTCCCTGAAGGACAATGCAGCAGCAGTTGCCTCAGAAGCTTACCACTCCACTTTTTTTTTTTTTGGAAGAAAGCTCAGTCTATTGAATGCACTCATGATTATGCCTAGCCTTACAGAAAAATCATCACTCAACCATGAAATTTAGGCAACTCGATCACGGAATCTCACACTCATTTGTAGAATATTTAAAACTCATTAAGCGGAAGATGGGACTTTTAGAACAAGTTTGATTTGTTCTCAGTTTCAGTTCTATTAGCATGTATACGATCTGCTTGGAATTACATCAAACGAGCCAGGGTATTTTTGGCATTCACACTTAATCATAATTCTATTTTTATTTCCTTGGGCCTGGTGGCTTATTTTTGGAGCGAATGATAGGGATTGTGAGGTTCTTCACAGAAAACAAAGAGGGCTTCCATTGCGAACGAGAAAGACAACCAATTGATGGTTCTACTATGGATCTTCAATTTATAATAAAAGAGAGGGTTTTCAGCTTCTTGTTACGTGATAAAACATACTCCATGATTATAGAGAAATCAAAAAGTTGCAACTATTCTTGGAGAATTTGTGACAAGAGGTATTACTCCTTGCCCTTTTCTTTTGCTTTTTCTTGAGAAGCATTGCTCAAGTTTGGTGATGTAACAATCAAACCATATATGCAGATATTATCCACTTTGGCCTAGTTTGCCCTATACGAGGGCTAAATATCATGATTTTTTTATTCTTCAAGCAACTTCTAGGAAGTCACCTATTTTAGAGTGCTTCCACATTAGCACACTTAGTGAAGTTCTCAATAAAAATTCACCTGTTGCACCCAAAACACTATCATATATTTGGGACCTAGCCATACAGTCCAAGAATCTTTCTTCCCTTATTGATGTGAGGTTTGAATCATTTTGGGATCCTTTGCATCTTAAAAGGCTGTCTTCTTGGAGGCCTACTTAGAACGCCCTGCCAATCCTTATCCGAGCCTCGGCTTTGATGCTCTCTCGTTGCTTGTTGTGGATTTGAGATGTCCTTGCCCATTGACTTCCACTTAGTTTGTTCTTTAATCACACCATCTTATAGGTCTTTTTTGATATCAATTATAAATACCCACTCCACACTATGCGAGATATTGTCATTTTAACTCAACCTATCTCATATTTGGCTAAATTCTATGTCACGACCCGGCTTGAGAGTTGAAATTACCAAAGCGAGAATTGTCAGTCGGATGACGAAAAATATCCAATAGTTTCATTTCACAACAAAATAAAATTCAAAGCACAAAAGGTCCATTCTATTTCATAAAACTTATATTTACAACAGTTTGTTCATATTTAAACATTTACATCTAACAGAAAATAAAAACTAAACTATAATACTTATCAGTTTGCACTTCTCAACACATGCACACGTACTCTTGGGTCCATCTAGCATAAAGCTAGTTTTTTTTTTTGTAAAATGTTAACAACTAAAGGTTGAGTTAAAACTACTTGTTGAGCAAATTTTTCTAAATTACAATAATTCTTTTCTTAAAATATCTTGTAAGTATAGTAAAAATTAAAAAGACAATGTGCAGTAAAAAGTGAATATGAAGATAACAATTTCGTTTACTTTCATTTATTCTGTTACATGGTTCATTATTGGCAGTCACCATCTAAACATATCTAAACATATACTTTTAAAAAATATATACGTTTAGTTTTTTCAACCCATCATAAAGTTAGACAATCATTTTTCATTTTCATTTCTATTTTCGTGCACACGTACATTGCATTCCCCTGCTAATACCATCTTGCGGTGACTATTATATGCATGCATATTTTATATTTTAATTTTTCTCTTGCATTTAACATTTAAAAGGAAAACATGAATTCTTACATTTTAAAAGAAAATATGGAAATAGTAAAAACATGTATAAATAAACAGAACTATTGTAAAATAAAAATATAATTACTGAACTGTACAATGCAGTCAATTATCCATTTCCTCAGATTAATCTAGTTCCTTCGTGAACCTATAATAACACATTAGACTTATTTTGCTTCTAATAACAACAGGTTTAATTAATTTTTATCAATTTTTGCCTTTCAAGAATCTAGATCGTAGGTATTGGGAGCGATCATTGGATTTTCAATTCAAAGCTCATCACAAATGCAAATGAATTTAATAGATGAAGTTAATAAGAACAAAGCTGGACAGAAATACATTCGCTACACCCATGTACAACATGGTTGTACAAATGAAAATAAGATTCGCGAAAAAAAAATCACATAATTAAATTCCGCACCGAACATTGTGTTTTCAATTCTTAGCTTATTGAAAAATGCTAACGAATTTGAGTGATGAAGTTAATGAGAACAAAACTCGATAGTATTACTTTAGGTAATACCATGACAACATGATTGTACCGAAGAAAATAAAATTCGGACAAAAAAGTCACATGTATAAAATGTAAAAGAAACTTTTTTTTATACAGTACCAAAAAAAACAAAAAAAAAAGAATTCTCGGTACAATAATGACATTTTTGTACCAAAGAAAAAAAAACGATATAGAAAAAAATAAATACGTCAATGTATATAACAGTTGTACAAGAGGAAAAAATAAATCAGTAAACATTTAAGCTCATTTAGATACATCACATGGTTGCACAACAAAAAAAATACAAAAATGTTATGTTCATTTAGTTCTATATATATATTGACATAAAAAGAAAACTCTTCGCAGTTAGAAAATATCTTCGGTTAGAACTTTTTTTTAAAAGAAAATGATTGGATCACATTTGCAAGCGTATTTCTGGATTTACTTACCAAAATGACAACTACTTGGTCACATGTAGTTATCGTTTGTTGTATTTTGAATCCTACGAGAATCTCAGTCTCTTCTTCATCGTTAAGTTAGGAGACAAGAAGACATGTGGAGTCTTAGAATGAGAGAATGTCGGAAAATAGAAATATATGAATGAAACATGAAAAGAGAGAAAATGTCAAATTCTAATCTTGGTACAACTAGAGAATCTCAACTGTGGGGTAGAAAATTGACAGAACAACAAACCTTGTAAAAACCCTGGGATCTTGATGCCGATCTTAGAATATGGAACGTCAAATGAACCTAGACATCAAAAACCTCAATCTCTTTATTTGTTGTGTTCGTTTTTTTTCTAGACGGGTCAGGTTGGGATCGGGTCGTGCGGTTTCATTCTCTTATTTTAAATTAAAATATATTTTTTAGAATAAAAAAATAATAATAAAATGATTGACATGTGACATTTACGGATTGGCTTCCGCACGTAGCTCTACATGCTTTATTCAGACGTAATAATTTTTCTATGTTCACGAACATGGCCCTTGAAGTTTGAGCTTACAGAGCTCAGTAGAGCTCTCCTGAATGTATAAAAAAAATGCACAAGCCCTTCCTCGTGTCATTAAACTAGGGCACAGGAAACCTTTTCACCAGTTTGTTTGCTCGATCTCCCTCCAATGTGCTCAAGCTCATCTTGGCTAGTCGAAGATTTGCTCAGGGCAGTGCGTCTCTGTGCACAAAAGAGCTCTAGTGCACTGTTCCTTCTTCTCGAGCTCTCGGTCAAACTTTTCACGGGCGGAAATCTGTACAAATGGGGAAAAGTCACTCAACTCCCCTTCTTCCTTTGTTTGCTACTCGCGACAACCGACGGAGTTGCTCGAGATAGTCGACAGGGCTGCTCGAGCCTTAAGGTGCTCGATCGAGCATTTCTCAATCACGGAAAAGGCCCACACAACTACGGGAGAGGTGTGTGATTACTCATTTTCTTTTCGTTGGCTTCAACACTTTCTCCTTTCTCCTCCTTTATCTATTTTTTTAGTGGCTTCTTTTTCTTCTTCCTTCTCTATCTCTCTCGCTATCTTTCTCTCGCTCCCTCTGACTTTCTTTCATTTGTTTGTTTGAACGAGGGATTGAGAGGATTAATCTCTCGTAGGCTTTCCCATGAGCGGTGGGATTTCGAAGGAATGACACCTTGTAGGTGTCGTGAACAGGGAAGCTTTTTTCTTTATACATACATACATACATACATACATACATACATATATATATATATATATATATATATATATATCTATATAGAGTTAATACACCTTTTAATTGGTTATTATTATAATCTCCTCTCATAATAAAAATTTCATCCTCCAAATTTAAAGGACAAGAATATATTTGTGGATATCTTTCTCTCATTTCTGCTTCCTTCTCCAAATATCATCTTTTCATTCTCGCGCTTCAATAATACAACAAAATGAATCTCTCTACTTCTCATAATCTATTATTATTTTTTGTTCATCTATAAAGGTTAGATCAAGTTGTATATTTATGTGGTCGGTAACGAGCTTGCTTATCGTTAGCAATATACTTTTGTGGTAAGGAGATATGAAACATATTATGTACCCCTTACATATGTGCTGGTAGGACAAGCTTATAGACCACTTTCCTTCTCTATTCCAGCCGCCAGTTCTCCTGCAGCCTTCCTACCTACTTCTAGCCACCGACCACCTCTCCCCCATTACTAATCTAGTAACCAACAACCTTAGCACCCTCTTTCCCGTCCCAGCTACCGATCACCCTACAACCTTCCTACCCATCCAGCCGTCGACCTCTTACCCCCTCCCTCCCCTCCTGCTTCCAGCCACCTATTCCTTACCCTCACCCACTTCAACCATCAACCACCGTGCCAACACCCCCGCTGTCACCAGATCTTCCTACCCGGCCCCTAGTCGGATATTGATATTATTGTGTTCTCTAGTTCCGATTGATTCTTGATTATAATATGATATCTTTTGAGCGATAATATTTGGCTCCATTTTGCG